CTCGGGTCATTTGTCACAAGCACCTTCTCAAACATGGAAACAATGTTTCTCGCATTCAAGAGATATGTACGAGTTGTTTAGTCTAGAATGCAAGTGTAGTAATATAATACGTGTCGAAAGAAAAATGCTGAGCACAACATCATTGGTAAAAAAATGGTATTATATTCAATTAATGGACGCATGAATTGTAAGTTGCATGAAGAATCTACATGGAATTAGTAATCTAGAGAGTTGGGGGAAAGTTCTTGCCATTTATCATGTATTTCTCTTCATGAAAATGATATTTTCAGATGAAGTAATCATTATCATTTACAGCGAATGAGTTTTAAAGATTATCTGTACTCGTTTATAGGAGGGATAAGACCACACTGCAAGGTCACTGGACAGGTTGGCTATCTTAACTCAGCTCTTAATTAACATAAGAAAAAGAGGATCATGGGGGACCAATGGTCACCGATTAAGCTTTGTTTTCTATGTAGAGGGAGCAAGTAGCTACAAGTAGGACAGTGTGGCTTGTCATTTCCCAACTTTCAGGACTAAACTCAAAACCCTTTATCTAAAATATTGTTTGTTTATGGCTGTTTGAAGGAAAAAAACTTCAACCAGAATGTTCACATTTGGACATGGGACACCGCCCTCCATTCTGGCCGTATGGGGTACAATACAGGAAGGGGGTGGTTAGGGGTTAAGAACTCCTTAATAGTACATCTTTTCTTTCTTCTTTTTTTTTTTTGGGGGGGGGGTGGGAAAACACATCACCTCATGATTTGGGCGACGCAATGGGCTCACTGTAATTTGTCTTTTCGTGCCCATAATGCTTGTCGGAATGAACGAAACATATTCAATTCTAAAAATAAACTACTAAAAAAATGGCAAACTTCTCAAGCTTGTTTAAAGTTAATAATTGCAATTGATAAGAACCTATACATATTTTAATTTAGCAAAGTGGCATTAAAGTCAGTCCTTTTGCAAAGGGATTTGCAAATTGATGTATTTAGACCCTGGTCCTGCACGATAGGCCTCCCTGGTTCTTGCCACAAGAATATTTTGAGGCGACGCGTTTAGAAATAAGATATGAAAATGGCTTTGAACTTTATTAATACAAGAATTTGTAACTCCAATTTTTTCTTGATAACGGATACAGAAAGGAGTGGTAATATTCTCTCCAATTTGAAACATCCCCCATCCACCTATTGGTGGTGATGATATATCACGTTGAAGGCAAACCTTTAAAAAATCTAACTTTTGCCTACAATTTCCCTGACAAGTATTATTTATAATTATGTAGGCTTAAAGACCTACATTTAAGTGAAATTAAGCAATATATTGTTTTGCAAAGTTGAGGCTCCAAACACATTAGAGTGGCTTTAAAGGGTTGTCTTTCCTATCTCAAAATCATCCAACTCTGAGAATAAACACAAGTTCATAATTGTTATAGAAGTTAGAGTGAAAAAACGTTGAAAAGAAAACGGCTTACAATAAGTAAGCATGATCAGAGCGTTGATTGAGCGCAAACCTTTATGTTTCTAAACAGATTACTTTCAATACTGGTGTCTGTTTTAACCATTTAGGCAATCGCATAGGTATCCAAATAGTAATTGATTTGATTTATTATTTTCGGCAATAAATAGAGATGATTTGGTAGAGATAGAGATAACAATCTTTTGAAGTGTCACAAATAAGAGGCTTGAGATAATGCCTGCTTAAGTTTAAAACTTATATTTACATTACATATTTATGGAACAAATAATAATTCATTCTTTAATAGGTAAGGAGAGTACGAGAGCGATGGTGTTAATGGAGACTAGGAAGATAGAATAGAAAGAGGAGATGAGGTAGAGGAAGATTGAGAATCAAGATGAAAAATGAAGAAGAAGAAGAAGATGAAGAAGAAGACGAAGGAGAAATAGAAAGGAAAAAAAGATAAGAAGATGAAGACGGAAGAAGAAGAAGAAGATGAAAGCAGGAAGGAGGGAGATGATGATGAAAAAGAAATTGTCAGCTGGAAAGAGAACGGGCCCAGATATTCAAATATTTTACCCATTACTTCCCATCAACGTATTGTGTTCACAAGGTAGGTCTTATCCTAACACCTGGAACATGATGAAATAAGTGAACTTTTTTGTTGAATGAATAGCGTTTTCCTATCGTCCTATATTATAACTGACATGGAGCAAATATGGATCATTGTAGGAATGAGCAAATATGAGGTTTGAGCCTTAGAATGTGTATTCAGAAATGATATATTGTTGAAAGGCCTTTAATAGAAAATACTGAAATAGCTAATACTTTCATTCGGTAGAGAATTCAGGCCATCCATCTGGGCGAATGTGCCCAAGTGAATTTACGGACCGATTTTGAACATTGGAAATCAGTATCGTGTCTTTGGGAGTGTGGGACATGGGGGGGGGGGGGTGGAGAGGTAAGATTGTGTTTGTAGTATTACAAAACCAATTCCTTTCTTCAATAAATAACTAAATGTAATCTACATTATCCCGCCGAGTGACTACAGAACATACATTTTTGTCGGTAATCGTTGGCCTCTACGACCCCCACTGAAAAAAGGTCTAGCGACGCCCCTGCCAGTGGCCCATGATCACTCTGATGAAAACTTTTCGTGTAGTATGCAGGCCTAAAACTTGTATTTTGTATCAGGGAAATTATTATAGTTACAGTTCACTGGTTGTATTTAACACGAGTATGACTAGGCTTTGAACATTTTTATGCGTTTGCGATCATCAGATTGGACCTTGGATTAGTGAAGATTGTTATAATTATGTCCATTAATGGTGAAATTGAAGGTAGTTTACTTTTTTGTTGGATAAAGAAAAATATAAAAACTTTCACGTGTAATCTTTAATGATATAACGTACATATTCAGTTTCTTAACACACCTACTACAATATGACGGGATAGAATTCAGCCATTTCTTCTTATTGTTTTTGGTGTTTATTTTCTTTGTGGTGTGTTCATGCAAGGAGGGTATCTCTTTGGTTCATGAGTATAAACATGTACGCGTGTTACTTCATTAATATATACAACGATTTCTTTATTTTCATTCCTCGTTCTTTATAACTATTTTGAGTTTTGATTAGAAAAATCCTGGGATAATTATAAATTAATTAGGCTAGCAGTTTGGTATTGAGGTGAAAACCCCTCTTTACTTCCTTTGATTCTTAATATAACATTAACATTAATTCAGAGAAAATTAAACGAACCATATTAACATCTCATTTCAAAAAATCCTGAATTATTATTATTATGTTTTGCTAATGACATTCTTAATCTAGAGAACATCTACAGTTAAATAAGGTTGAAAACTGAGGAATGGTATGCAAATGAGGGAGAAGAATGGAACTGTTTAATTGAATGATCAAAACTAGGTCCTACTCAAAGTTCAAACCTAATCAAATTGAATCAAGACTAAGACACAATTTATGACTACGGTTTATGAATTCGATGGAAAGAATGCACATTAAAAGCATTTTGAATTTTTTGAGTAATTTTGGATATACATAAGTAAACCAATATTGTTTATGTTCCTGTACATTACATATACTGGTACCATGGGACTATATACCCTACGCAGAACGTATACATATTAAAATGTTAAAAACGTATTCTATCGTACTTCTATATCGTCCGATTAGATGTCCGAATAGCAAAACATGCCTACCTAAAAATACAGACAATAATATTTGATAAAAGTGTTCGGAAAAGGTAAAACAATCCAATGACTTTGTTAGTCATCACATCAGGGGCGTACGCAGGGGGGGGGGGGGGTTTGGGGGGTTCAAACCCCCCCTTTGGTATTTTTATGTATGTAAACCCCCCTAAAAAAAACCTAAACCCCCCCCTTTGTTTTTGTTTTTTTTTTTTTTTTTTGTTTTTGTTATTATATTAAAAAAAAAAAAAAAAATTATACCCACGGCTAACCTAAATAAGGTGACCTTACCCCCCCCCCCAACGACAAAAAATGTCAAATTATGAAATTTCGAGACCAAAAAAAAAAAAAAAAAATGTGTCCGCTTACCCCCCCCCCCCCCCCATCCCCCCCCCCCCCCCCCCCCCCCACTGAGCGACTTTTCGGCTGGCTGAGTCGTTGCGATTTTTTTTTGACCTCCCAAAAAACCAAAAAAAAGTGTCCGCTTTCAAAACCTAACTCAACTTTCCGCCCCAACCTGGACAAATTTTATATTTTAGCCTGAACGATGGATTTTGAACAGGGCTTGTCTATCAGTGATAACAGTCATGTTTAATAATCCGCTTGTATAACTTATTTTATTGAACACGTACGGCATGTCATAAAAAAGGGTGCTTTGTCATGATACAAACGATATATATATATATTGGGTTGTTTAGGGGGGGGGCGGGTCATGAAGCCCAAACATATGCCCAAACAAACATTGCCAGGTAGATAAAATGTCACCCCTATTTCAGAATAAAACATAATAACCTTTTTCCAGACAACTTTAGCCAAAACAAACCATTCCTCCATTGCTACATAACTAGTAAAATCAAAGGAGTTTTACGTTTGTTAGTTTGGGTAGGGATTTTCTGTAAAATTAGCCTTGACATCAGAAAACATGCAATACTTAAATTGACTGTGACCAATTGTATAACCATTTGTGTAGTGTAATGAAGAGTTCATTTTAAAACGGCTGGTATAAGTTAGCCATTTCTGAGATTTGTTAGCAGGGATAAACGTGTGATGAGCACAAGAGGTTTATTATCTGGTCTAAGACTATGAGAGCTTCTACCCATATAACTTAATCAAAATTGGGGAGGTTTTGCAAATGAGGGCTAATATCTGTACGGGTAGTAGCCCTCATTTGCACGTCCACACCAAATTATATTTCTTCTGCCAATGAAATTTCATCGAAATTCGGGAGGGTGTACAAATGAGGGCTATTACGCAATGGATTAGTATGTACAGGTTCGCAGACAGACTTGGGCTTGCCAAGAAGTTACTTCTTGGACTTGCAATGCATAATGAGGTGGCATGGCTGAAGAAAACGGCCACCCTCTGAAGCGACTAATAATTTACGAGTTCCGGAAAAGGATGTGACACCCAATTTCTCAATACATCAGCGTATGGCGCGCGCGGGAAACCAAGATGTATCATAACAGTTTGCCTTTGCGCGGGTACCTCTCACACGATTTTAATGGATGATGCTGGTTTTGACAAGAACTGCTGGATAATCGGAAATAGTACGTAGCGTGACTTCGCTATGTGTTTTATTGTGCTCATCACACGTTTATGCCTAATAACAAATCGTTCTCTGAACCCAAGATCGATGGTGTATACAAGTATGCATTGACGTGTTCCTTGAGTTTGTTCGACAAGATGAACATGAGGATTTCAATGAGGAAATATATTCGCGGGTGTGTGATGCGTCCAAACTTAGTCCAATATTTGGTTTTGTTATATTTTGTATGACATCACTCTGCTTTCATGCCATGCTTGATCCATCATCTGTTAAAGGCGTCCACGTGTAGCACACAAGTAAGTTGTTTTTCCTTTTTATTTTCCTTTTTCACGATTCCGCTCTGATGTGCAACCTTGCGAACACGTGGTTATTCTTAACCTAAATATAAGTGCAATACTTTTTTCCACTTCATTTAGAATAATTTAATAATGTTGTTGATGTACATAGAAAAGTGAAAGTTTATGTTCGTTCTTCAATTTTTATTTTGAACACGTTTGTTTTGAAAAGAGTTCACGTAATGACGCAATAATAAGTGAAATTCTGCCTTCCAAGTTTTGGGGATTCTCAAAACTATAGAGGAGCTTTAATTTAAAGCGCCTCTTGTGTTGGGAACCCCAAATTCGCAACAACAACAAAAATAGCAAAATTTCACTTAAATGTTTATAATGATGTAAAAGAAATGAGAATTATCCCACACTTCTGCAATCATTATCACGACAAATGTCTTTGACGCCGGATATTGATGAAAGAATACAACATTTCGGCTTCTTTTTTCACGCAGAAAACAAAAAATTAGTATTCTTTCACCAATATTCGTCTTCAAACACATTAAATAAAATGACAGCCTGTTTCATTTCATTATACAATCAAAGTAAAATGTTTCCATCATATATTTGGGCACCATACACTTTAGAGAGGCTGTTAGTGTTAGTGTTGGGAACAAACAGTTTAATGGCAATATTCCATAAATTGCAGAACAATGACGTAGAAGAGCAGATAAGAGGGTGACTCTTAACGCTCAAATCTACAAGGATTTTTAAATAAATGTGTTTAAAGAAAAATATTTGTATAACAGAATAAGAGTTTTTCTGCTGCATATAATTATATGCACAAAACTCAAATTATAAATTCTTTCATCAACATTTTGAGTGTACGTTTCGTTTCTAAACGGTCCTCTAATTTCATTCAGTCATGCTTTCTTGTTATCTTTATTTCAGTACTTCTGAGTTCAGATTATACCGTAACATTGTACATCGAGCTTTATACAGTTGGAAAAAATTCAATACTTTAGGAGCGTTTTTCTCACAACTGAACAACTTTACAGAGTCCCCCTAAAAGAAAAGACGTAAGGCCTACAGTATTCATTATTCTACTATTTTTTTAAAGCTTCTTTAAAATTAAAATAGGTAGAATCCACACATGAAAAGTATAAGATCACTATATTGCAATACACCTCCCTGTGAATATGATCCGTCTGCTACAAGAACAAATGGTGTGCGACTTCTTGACTTGTGTGAACCACCCCGTCTTAGGAATTCTCTCGCAGCAGCAATCTTCAGGGTCGCACAGGCCATAAAATCTTGCGATGCTCGACTTTATCGTGTTTTCATGCCCTTGAATTTTAAGTAGAAATATAGTGTACTTTTTTAATGGCTCTTCCCTAGCAACAGGATATGGGGATCCTGACATTCAGCCAAAGGTGACCCCAAATTCAACCAGAGTTAAAAAGTTTTCACGACGTATTCCCCCAGTTAGTCAGCTTTATTTCAGGTACGAAATGTCGTGTATAATGGCTACCAACTAATAACTCCTCTTCAAGGCAGCAGCTCTCATTTGCACTCCTTTCATCAAATTCCATGAAGTGTATATAGTGTATTCTCCTGCCAAAGAGCTTTACCCATGCAATTTAATATTTTGGGGAGGGTGTGCAAATGAGGGCTACCAACTTTAAAGGTGCTGTGTCTCTTTAGCAGACAGAAAATACAAAGTGGTGTAAATCAGTGGCGTAATGAGCAAAAACGTTTGGGGGGGGGGGGGCTGACAAAAAAAAAAATCCGCAGCACCCCACTCTAACATTGCAGGCCCCGCTGAACGTTTCGCAAAGTGGGGTCTAGGGGCAAAGCCCCGGCGGGGGTCAAGGGGTATGGGCATCAGTGGCGGATCCAGGAATTTCTTACCGGGGGGGGGGGGGGGGGGGGGAGGGGAACAATCTGGCATGGGGTTAAATATATGTAAAACGATGAAGCGACAGAACGAGGCTTAATTTAGCGGCGAGGGAGCGGAGCGACTAAGCGGGGGTGGGTAAGAAGCATTTGCAATTTTAGAACCAAATTAGACGCATTTTCAGGCACTTCCTGGAGTAATATGACGTAAAATTACTTTCTCCTACCACTTCCAAGAGTAGGGATCTTTGACTTTTGCAATTTGAGAACCACATTTGGCGCATTAATGTCCACCGGCACTTCCTGGAACGAGCCTTCTGATTGGTTAGAAGTTAGAGAAAAGTGATCTGTCACGTCTTGAGACGTTGTATAATTATGCTTTGATGCCGCACAATGCACAAAGACGGTGGTCCGGTACTTCATCAGTAGTACTTCCAGAAATGTTCTCGAGTGTATAAACTGTGTCGTTATCAGGGGCGTCGCTAGATCTTTGTCAGTGGGGAGTGGGGAGGGAGTAGAGGCCACCGATTACCGACAAAACGAGCAACCAATTACCGACAAATATATTAATGCCAATGTCCAAATGTCTACAAATTGAACCCTATAAACCCGGGTCAGGAACTGAGTTATTTTTCAGTCTCCCCCCTCCCGCGCAAAGCGCGCAATCTTTGACACTTCATTAAATTATTAGAGAAAGAAGATGATCCGTTGTACCGTTCTCGACTCTTAATTCTTGTTTGGATCCAGTTCCCCCCCCCCCCCCCTCGCGCGAAGCGCGGCAGTTTTTACGTTTTAATAAATTATTACTCTTAATCCTTGTCTAATATCCTTTTCGCCCATAAGCGCGAAGCGCGGAAGCTTTCACGTTTCATTAAATTATTAGAGAAAGAAGACGATTCGTTGTATCGTGTTCTTGTCTGAACTCAGTCCCCCCCCCCCCCCTCCCGCGCGAAGCGCGGAAGCTTTGACACTTCATTAAATTATTAGAGAAAGAAGACGATTCATTGTACCGGTTCCGACTCTTAATCCTTGTCTGAATTCATTTTCGCCCATCTCGCGTGAAGTGCGGAAACTCTGACGTTTCATCAAATTATTAGAGAAAGAAGACGATTTGTTGTATCGTGTTCTTGTCTGAATTCAGTTCCCCCCGCCCCCATTCACGAGCGAAGCGCCGAAGCTTTGACACTTCATTAAATTATAAGAGAAAGAAGACGATTCATTGTACCGGTTCCGACTCTTAATCCTATCTGAATTCATTTCCGCCCATCTCGTGTGAAGTGCGGAAACTCTGACGTTTCATTAAACTATTACTCTTAATCCTTGCCTGAATATATTTTCGCCCATCCCGCGCGAAGCGCGGAAGCTTTCACGTTTTATTAAATTATTAGAGAAAGAAGACGATTCGTTGTACCGTTCACTACTCTTAATCTTGTCTGAATTCAATTTCCCCTCTGTGCCCCTTAAGTATGGAACGCCCGGCAGTGCTTGTCACAGTTGCTTCTGGAAAGATTTTTTTTACTAGTGTTACTGTTAGTGGCCACGTCCCCTTAGTGACTATAAAAAAACATATGCTCTTCCTGGCCATTTGGGAATGTGTCAGTTTGCAACAGAAATGGAGAAACGCGCATTTTGTTGAAAATCATGTGATATCACGAACATTTATACGTCACTTGTATATGGAATTGAAAATAAGTCATGGTTCAATTTTATTTGGGGGGGGGGGGGGCTGGCGCCCCCCCCCCCCACCAATACGCCAGTGGTGTAAATCATGATCTATAGAATTTGTTTTTGCCTGCAAAAGGGAAACACTACCATTACAAGTAATGGTTCTCATTTAAACACTCTTTCCCCCAATTAGATGATATTCCAACGTTACCTCTTTGGCATCAGAAAAACCCTGTTCAAATATTAAGAGCAAACTGACCAGTTGTTTAGAAATCATAAGTGAATAGATTTATTTTTGTTTTTTTGAAATAACAAATTGTGCTGAACACAAATAAAAGAAATCTCCTCGCTTCTCATTTACAATCTACTTATCTTTGGCTCATCAAGTTTCATCAAAATTTCATCAAGTTTACACTCATGGCAAAGAACTTCCATCAAGGGAATTTTTCTCAAAATTGGAAAGGCATTGCACTCTAAATGTATACTGAGGTTAAAGAGAATGTCATTAAAACTCATTACTGCAAAAGTATTTTGAAACGATTGTGTATGAAGACGAATATTGCCAAAGTAATCAAAAACATTTTTTTAATGTAGGCTACTCAACATCTACTCAACATCAATTTTTGTATTGGTAAAACAGGAGGCTTGTCGAAGTGAAGGAAGAGCGAAATCTGATCTTGCGTCATAGAAAACATTTGTTTTCAAAATCCTTTACAAATAATAAGAACAATGAAAAACAATTTAAAAATACAAATGCTCCCGGAGCACATGCAGGATATCCTGCAAGCTCCAATTCCGCTCTTCCCCCACTTCAACAAGTCATCGACTGTACAAATACCCTTCACAACTTGTGCAGCATCTCCCCCCCCCCCCTCTCCTCTTTCTCTTCTAGATTCTATACTGCCTCTTCTTCATCTACGGCCCCTTCCTCTTCCTCTACACCTCCAATGACGTCCTCAAGCATGCTGGTAGCAGCATTATCCTCCTCAATGTCCTTTAAATTAAAAGAGATTTAAAAAAAAAAGAGTTATCATCTAACAAACTTTGTCGAGATAAAATCAACTATGTAAAAATATGTGTAAACTGGGTATGTAAAACAAATCATTTATGCAGATCGATATCTGAAAGATTCGTAGCAAGCAACTACACGTTAGCTTGGGTGTGAGCGGGAATCTAGCACTTCTGCCCTAAAAGTGTCAGGAACTGCATCCATCCTTTTGTAGGTCATGCTATAATGACCGGCACTAAATCTCACAGTAATAACAAAAACACGTACAGGAACAAGATGCAAAATTGTTGTTCCTATACTGTCAAGGCCGGCATATTTATGTGCCTAGGATTAAGATAATGATTCTGTATTTAGACGGTACAAAGTCGAGGGTGAATTAAGTGACTGTAGTGCCGACTTTTTAGCCTTAGGCCACACACCAAAAGACACACATGGGACCGAGCAAATTTTGCCGACGATA